TTTTTTTTTAAGGGGGGAAAATCATCGAATGACTGCTCCCGCCTGGGTGAGGCGGGAGGGAGTGTCAGACTCTTACTGACTAAAAACCACCCCGTTCCTGAGGAAGCCGGAGCCCCGGTTACCCGTTAGGTTCTCCGCGACTCCGAATCGGCATCGGCTCTATTGGGCCCCATATGTGGTGGTCTGATGGCTCTATGAGGCGCGCACGGAACGCGACGCGCCGTACGCTCGGGTCTGTTTCTGGTCGGACGGACCCATGCTCGCCGTCCGCAGGCCCGCGCTTACGGTGGCCAGAGATCGTCCCGCGATCCCCGACGCCCGGTGTGTCCTTCGCGATGGCTGGGTTGCGAGGAGGCAGCGCTTCGCTGCCTCACGCGTCCCGCCTCGTCCTTAGCTAGCATGACGAACGACGAACTAGCAGTTCCGGAGGTAACCACGTTCAAACAAACACTTCGACTTTACACATTTAGTTACAAATAGATTTTCCAGTCTGAATGACTTTTTTTCAAATTTCAGAGGTCAACAAAACAGTGATACTAAACATGCATCATAAGAATTTCCGTGAAATAAAAACAATTTTGAAAAAAGTTAATGAAAAGCTACAGGATATTGGGCAACTGATGAAAGCAAATAAAGAGGTAGCGACGTTGCCAGTGTTCCCACCTCCTGCACTAAGAGACGGGATGAAAGAAAAACAAAATAAAAACGTCTCTTCCGACTTAAGTTCGCCAAACAAAACAAAACCTCATTCACTTGTGAATAGAGAAAATTCTTCAACAACATCTCCATCATTAACCACATTACCAAATATAACATCAACATTCCACGCTTCTAGTGCTAAATCAAAACAAAATAAATTATCTGAGAATATAGGGAGGAGCGATCGAGAGACTACCTCTCCGACTGTAGTGTCTACTGTCAAAAATAGTTCTACAATTTCACAAATAACACTTCTTGCTAAGACAACTCCATTACATCTTGATAAGACAACTGCTAAGTCTTCTGTATCTGTATTGCGAGAAGATAATCATAAGTAAGTTAAATACTACTGCTTCTTCTGTTTACATAATACTAGTTTCTTTGCTCGTATGACTCCAGACTACAATCTAACCTAGAGAGCGTCCTGGGCACGCATCTCATAAGCGAGCGTCCCTAATCCAGACCTCAATCGTTATTATATATGATATTACTATCTTCTACCAGCAGCTTTGTCTGCGTTCTTGTGGGATAGAAAGTAGATAGACCATAATCTACCTGTTTCAAATTTCATCCCGATCCCTTCAGCCGCTTTGACGTGATTCAGTAACAAACTGTCAGTCTGTCTCGGTTTCGTACGTTTGCTTTACTTATAAGCAAGCGTGGTGATTACTGCTCAAACTTTCTCCGTGCCAGAAGAGGCCTTTGGTCTGCTGTGGTCACTTTAGGTTGATGATGATGATAAAGCTTTTGACGATAACCACGTCTCCCAAAGACACGTTTCAGATCCTGACGCCTCACTAGAGTCACAGTCGAGGGCAGAACTACTACAGAACTATTATCGCCTGCTAGAAGAATATGACGAAGGTTATCTAGTGGTCTTCTTGATGGAACTGTCCAGACTAGTCGCTGTCAAGGACGTAGAAGACGTCCACATCATACTACGACATATGGAACCAATACTTCATGAGTACGGTTACAATATAACTTCATACTGAATTAACTAAAAATGACGGATTATTGTACAAGTTTCGAGACACATAGGGACTATTCTTCATGAGCGATTGCGACGTAGTACACAGTAAGCGTTGTATGTAACACTGACTTTGTGCCAACTCGGGAATCGAACCCTAGTAGGTTGTGTGGCGTTGGTATTTCATCGCCACTGATGAACGTACCGATCACCTCAACATCGTCGCAAACGCCGTCATTGCCAGTTAGAAGCAAATGCTCGTGGTTCCCGACAGAAGGCGTGCAACGCAAGCAACAACGCGGGCACTAGCCAGTAGTAGGCATCGCCGCAACCGCGCACGCTGCTAATGAGGAAGAGTCCCTCTGTGACTCGAAACAAATTCAGCTTTTTCAGTATATTTAACTGAGTAACGGGTCATTTCTAGTTAATTCAATATAACTTCGATCACGTCTAGACTGAGTCAATAATAGAAAAGACCAGAAGAATCTTGTCTTTTGTTCTGATTCGAGGATAACTACAAGATTCTTGTATCCATGTATCCATGGGCACGAATGGGCCGGCTCGACCGGAGTGATACCACGACCTCACAGAAAACCGACGTGAAACAACGCTTGCGTTGTGTTTCGTCGTGTGAGTGAGGTTACCGGAGGCCCAACTACCCTCCCCTTCCCCAATCTCCCCAATCCCTGAATCCCTGAATCCCCAAAAAGCCGGTGACGCACTTGTACCGCTTCTGGTGTTCCAGATGTCCATGGGCGACGCCGATTGCTTACCATCAGGTGATCCGTCGGTTCGTTTACCGGCTTATGCCATAAAAAAAAATCCATGCCGCAGTACTCGGAGTAATGTAATGACTACTTAACTCAGTCCTTGGCAATGGGGCCTACCGTATTGTTACTCACCAGATGTCGCTAGTGTGTGCCTCTCGTTCTGCGTCCAATAGGGAATTAGCTAGGGACACTCAATATTTGATAGCTGCTGTGGTTGGACAAGAAAACTCTGCCTACATTTGCGACATTTGCTGGGCAAAACGTTAGCCCCCATTGTTTCCGAAACTAAATCGTTACTGAGGAATAGTTGAAGTCTCTGAGTACCTACGGCAGTTAATGCTCTTCCAGGATGCTGAAATCAAAGAAGCTGGGCTGGTTCGGATACCCAACAACGCATGTGATAATAAAATTTGGGCTTTTTGTCTCAGACGGACCTATTGAACTTGTCCGAAGTAAGTAGAAATAGACATCATAATTATTAATAATATGTATATTCAAAAATTGTCAAAGACAAATTCCAGCAAACGAGCAGATGGATCACCTGATGGTAAGCAATCAGCGCGTACATGGACACCCACAACATCAAAGGAATTACAAATCCGTCGCTAGCTATTTGGTGATTAGGGATTTGAGAATAGGGTAGACGCCTAATTTTTATTTTAATGTCCGTCTGGTAGATTATTTTAAATCATTAGACACGTATTTTTTATTTTCTTACAGAAAAAAATACTTTCGACGACATATTGATTTGATATGTCGCGTGACGTCACTTCTATGTACATTTCATACATAGAAATGACGTTTTAGCCCTCACTCCTAAACTTTGATTCGTTTTATCTAAGTATTGTTTTATTATACGACAAAAAAAATACTGTCTAATATTTTTTCATTACTTAACTTACGGACTAATTACATTTTTAATCTTCATACCCTGTCATCATCCCAATTAGCTATTAAGGAGTTGGGGAGATTGGAAAGGGAAGGATTTGGGCCTCCGGTTACCTCACTCTTATGATTATGTTGTTTTAACGCCGGTTTCTGCTCGTTGGTGGTTTCACTCTGCTCGAGCCATCCCATTGGTGCCGAAGCATAGCGCGCCCACAATTATATATGAGTCATTGTTACTAGTTTGACTGTGATTCCTATGATTGCAGACTACTCAGGAATGGTATATCACATGATAAGGCTACGGAACACGTCACTGGACAGCGATGTGAACTCCATCATCGATTACGCCGACATACTGTACGAGGATGCAGAGGGAAGGCTGCTGTTTGAAGCTCTTCGAGATTTTGAGGCTTATCCTGATGGTTTGTTCATAGATTGCTAGTATTCTTATTGTATAATAATTATTGTTGTCATATATACAATGTATACAATTTTCTTATGAGAACAGCAAAGGAGTTAAGCTCTTTGCTTTGTTCCCTTCAGGGTATAACCTGGATTTCTTCAAGGCTCGAGTGAATAGGTTGCTTATGTAGACGTGCTCCATCGTGGGCCGCATCATCGTGCACCACCAAGTGGTATAGTGCCCAAACATCGACCTATTTACCAATAAAAAAAATCTATTACAGACGTCGAATAACACAGGGAGTGTATGTCGATAAGATCAAATTCTGATTTATCTAATTCTCTATAAAAGTACGAAGTTTGGAATGGTATCTGATGTATGGCAATAGGCTTATCGTCTGTTGTTATGGGATTCATGACATGACTGATAAAACAATTATTTTGGACGGTGGAGGGTGGTAGCCAATGATTCCTCCCGCCTTAGTTGAGGCGAGATAGTTGCAGACTCTTACTGACTAAACACCACCTATTCCTACTTCCTAGTAAACCAAGCCTCATCAAATCACTGCCTCGTTGGCCGAGTGCTCGCAAGTGCAACTGCCAGGCAAGGGGTGTTGGGTTCGATTCCCGGGTCGGTTAAAGTATTGCTGGGTTATTCGGAGGCTGGAAATGTGCCCGGTATATGGCAATAGGCTCACCACTTGGGACACCCCATTACATAGGACTCATAACATAAATAGTCAAAAGTGGGTGTTACATTGTACAGTAGCATTAAGTGCCGTAATGTGCAGCTCTTCTTATCCCTTCAGGAATAAAATGGTGGGATGTTATATTACTCAACATAATTATAATACATGTTCCAGTGTCAAAAACAAGTACAGAAGTCTGTCAGGGTCTGGTAGACAGTTTCTTCGCTCCGTACCGTCGTCTGTTGAAGTCAGAGAGAAGACAGAATCTTCTGGACGCCATCAACTACTTACTGAAGACCAGGATTCCGACGAGGAAGTCCAATGATGACGACATCATCCCGTTCATAATGAATGGTAACTAGTAATATGTATATGTTAATGAGCTCTATTCACCCATCAAGCTCTTTCGTTTAGTATCCAAAATAGAGGTAGTTGTGGAAATAATTAGATTATATTGTATGGTCATCAGGATTAAGAGTGTGTCCCAAATATTAGATCGATCTGTCGTCAGGGGGAGGTGACATTCCAATTACTAAAGACCCGAACAAATAAACGGGGCAAGCTTAAACTGTCAAACACCAAGCGGTCACCGGTGACCGCAACCTATTGTTCTATAATTGTGTCTACAAAACCGGTACTCGACGAGTTAATATAACCGTTCAATTATATCTATTGAGTCTCGTTAGTCGAGTCGCAATCACGTCTGCTGTGTAAGGGGTCTTGATACCCAGTAGTGTATGAGAATAGATTGGACCACTGTTATATAGCACTACTAAAATAACTGGTGTTGGTGAACATCGGATGTTGCAGTCTATATGTGCAACGTAAACCCCCTTTTGAGGGGGAAAGACCATCCAATGACTTTTAAGACTGTCCTGAGGCGAGAGAGAGTGTCAGACTCTTAATGTCTAGATACCACCCTGTTTCTACTCCTACATTGAGCCGGAGCCACGGTAACCCGTTAGATCTTCCCTAGCGCGCAGGATTGTCGGACAATCAAAACAAATGTTTAGTGTTATTAGTAAAACTGCGTCACACATTTTGGACCATATAGCACTCAAGATGAAATTATAAACTTTGAATTCCAACAACGAATAGGGACATATTATCACAAACTTCTTTTTGCAGGTCCAAACCACATTTTCGAACATCACAATCATAAATATGGTTCCAAAGTAGAAGATAAAATAGCTTCCCTCCGTTCTTCAAAAAATAAGTATCCAACCAGAGAAGACTACCTACTTACCCGAACAAGAGAGAGGCAATCTAAGCATAGAATTAATTTAAAGAAGAAGACCACAGAATATGCCAAAAAGACTACAAAAGAAAAAGATATTCAAGGACTTACCTTGTCAAGACACTTCCAAACTAGCTCTCTAAAGCCTCGATTCAAAAAAGAGAATCAAAGATACTATGATACCGAAAAGACCAGAAGTTCTTTAGATTCCGGGGAACTGTCTGAGAATAAAGTAGTTCGATCTGGGAGAAATAATGAAATGGAGGAGACACATGGCCAGTCATTCCTGAAGCAAGTTAGGACACATTTTTTGAAATCAAATCTATTTAGGACGAATGATAATAAGATGAAGGTCAAACAGAAGATACTGAAAGAAATCGTCGAAGGTTCTAGTTACAGTGATGAAGAAGAGTCGTTGCAGAAGAATTTGATCAAAGCCCTACAGAATAGCAATAAGGGTAGACATCATAAATATATTGGTACAACGATGATTCAAGTGGCACCAGGTAATGAACTATGTATAAGCTACTGGCTTCTGCTAACGACTTCGCCCGCAGTCTAGTGTTGTTTCACGTCGGATTTCTGCTCAACCGTGGTATCACCCCGGTCTAGCCGACCCATTCGTGCCAAAACATGGCTCTCCCACACTTAAAAGTACTTAATGTATGATTCATAAACATTCATATCTGATATAACATGACTTAATCTGTTACAGGTACTATATCATCTAGAAACCAATATTTGAATCTGACGAAACGGTCTGGGGTCAAGTTTAAGAAGTTTATATCTCTCGTTAGAGGCGGCTTCTTGAGATAGAAGAATGTATTTACTTCCCAATACTTACATAATATATTATAACGTTGCATTCATTTAATTTTGTTGTTTTTTTTTTAACCAAATCCAAATCTATAAAAAGCACCTGCCCGCGGATTCGCCCGCGTACTTCTGGGATGAAAAGTAGTCTATGTGCTGTTCCACACCATAATCTAGACTTGTTCTAAATATCATTCCGATCCCTTCAGCCGTTATGACGTAGTTGAATAACAAACAAACACACACATTTCGACATTTCGACATTTATTCGAATAATATCAGTAAGATTGATGATCTATCTTTAGTGTAGCTGCATGTTGTTATAATAACTGTCGTGAGACACTGAATTAATTAAACATAACTGGATACTCACGTAAACATACTGAGACAAGCTCCACTAGTTTCGAATCACAGAGTCTTCCTCATGAGCAGCGTGCGTCGCGGCGCTGGCGATGTCACGCAGCCTATCGCGCAGTCTACCTATACTCAGCTCGCTGCACATTACAAAATGTAGATTGATAACAGAACTGGTGACACATGGTTGTTGCAACAACCACCTGAACACAAGTCAACGACAGATGAAACGAGCAACAATATAAACTGATGAAGGAATAGGGATAAGAACCTCTAAAGACAACACAAATACTTACTTATCAACTATATCATCATGCATATGATCAAATGGATCTAACTTTAGTAAGTAGTCTGCAGCAGGATGAGTGATAGGATAATTATATCTTCTTAGTTTTGTTTCTTTATTTAAACACTTGGGAAACAAATAGCTATACAATTTGATTAAAAAAGAATACGACATGCAACGAAAATCCAATAACTGGTTTCCACGATTAGTAACAGAGAATAAAAACATGCCAACACAGCTATACAATACTAAAGTTACTAACGATAATTCAACTTTAGGCAATCCGTAATGCTGCACAAATTAATTCAACAATTATGGACCGTAATGGTACCGACTATGAATTTAAAGAAATCAAGGTTCAGCTGCCTGCGTGTTAATGACGTTTGTAATAAATGGGTCAAAAGAAAAATCTGCAAAATGCTACATAGTTGCCATAGACGCATTGATTTTATCATAAACTGTAGTTTCATGTCCATTGTCATATACCCTTGTATCTGCTGCACTTACTTCAGCACCGTTTACAGTGGAATGTACTTCAGTAACTGTAGTACTTCTTTTGTGTGTACCTGTATTCTTGTCTACGTGTGTGTTGTGGCGTAGTAAATGGTTTTGTTCTTTCTTCTTAGTACTGCTCTATTGATTATGACTATGAATTGTTCTGTCGCAGTTATTTCTTTAACATTATTATTGGTTGCTTTAGTTGTAAATTCAGTTCATTTATCTTTCATTTGTAATATCGGTAAAGCTGTTCTTGTTTAATTCTTGTTTGTAGTTGTATCATTTTCTTCCTAACTTCTTGCACTTGTTTTTCTAGTTTACTTACTCTTCTCTCTAAATCATCGTTTACGTTGGCTGCTGTTGTTATGTAACTACTACCATCTCGACGATATATTTGTGAAGACCTGAAAATAAATATATCAATGTAAGATATACAGGCTTCTGACCACAGAAAGGATGGGAAAGTATAAGAGACTAATATGTATATTATTCCGGTTCCGTTACCTGGAATGGTTTCTGGGAGATTTGAAAATGGGCAATTATGTAGATTTTGATGTGTTTATTTCAATTTTCATTTTGCACCTTTGTACGTGCGCCGCTCGGGCCGCCATCTTGGGAAAATCGCGGCTATACACAGTTTTTTTACAATATCTCTTTTCCTGTTAATTTGAGGAGAAAACCCGTTAACTACAAAATTAAACTATTAACAAATTACTACAATTTATGTCTCGATAGGTTTTTTGTAAAATAAGCCTTTGACTGCCAATAAAAAACTGTTTAAGGTAAATCCTCCGCTAACGTCGGTAACCGGTGACCCCCATGGCGTTTAACGTGATAATTAGTTTTGGCGTTAGAACACCGCAACGTACATTTTGATGAGCATTTAAGGAAAAAAAATAATTTCCCCACCACGTGGTAGTAGAGCGAGCGGCGCATTGTTTCATAGTGTGGTCGTTTATGGGTTTAATTCTGATGTGATTGTGTACACACTTTAGGAACTTGTCATAATCTCCGGCCGTTATCTGTTTCTGGTGAACCGCATATAGGAGACTTCTTCTTAGGCACCCAACGATATGTAATAGTCGTTATTTTTAAACGAAAATGTTTGTAATGAATCTGCAGAAGTGCATCGCAAACAATCCGGGAATCCAACAAATTTTGATCTGCGACTACTCGATCGGTACTCAAAGCTCCATTAAAGTGAGAGTGAATGTAAGTTTTTTTTTAAATGCAATTGAAGTGTATCTGCTTTGCGGCGCTCATACGCCAAAACTTCTGATTTTATAATTTTGCAAATAAATAAATTGGGACTCTTTCGCGCGTCGCGGCGGTCGCGGCGATGTTGCGCAGCGTACTACCTGTGGTTAGTGCCCCTGATGGTGCTGGTGCTCACGTCCCTCTGTGACTCGAAACAAGTAGACTTTTTCTCAGTATATTTACGTGAGTAACTCGTAATTTTTAGTTAATTCAGCATGTCTCACGATAGCAATTATTAAAACAGAGCTGTAATTATTTGGATTGTTTTGTTAGATACATTATTATTTTTGTTGGAATTAATATATTACAACTTTACCAGATTGATAAACTGTGTGTAAGATCTGGTCTTGATATATTAAAATAAATAGTATTTCGGAATAAATCAGAAAAAATATGATTGAAAATAAATATGAAATTTAGTGAACAGCAGAACACAGGCGCACACTTTCATTTTAATATAAAAATACTAACATTTTATTGTATCATAAAACTTGTTATACATTGCGCGAGCAACTATTTTTATATTTGTAATCCAATAAAATTATTACAACTATTTTATTGACAATAAACATTGGAATTGTTACTGATTTTAAACTCAATGTTTTTTTAAAGTCCCATTGGTTTGTTGACAAATGTTTTTAAAAACACTGAAATCTGAACAAATTCGTTTAGATAGTCAAAATTGAAAATGTGCTACAATAATACAATTATAATAGTGAATATTTCCAACTTGAAAGTAATAATAAGTTATGAATAATGTTACTCCTATTTTTATTAATAGTTCTGCACTATGATTTATCATTTTGTCAGCAGTTTTACGAAGGTTTGTCAGAGTTAAATTACAATACCTCTATTATCATTATTATAATAAATTGCGACTTGCTTATAACAACTTCTCTCGTGCACTCTTAGTTACCTTACTCTTAGTTAGTTAGAAGTGACTAGTTTTTCGTTAAAATACAATAATAATAACTCAGCAACTGAAATAAAGTTATAAAAATATTTATTCTGAGACTAATAGACAGCGCGGAATCAGAAATTAATAGTAGGTATTAACTATATGGACACAAAGACATGAATAACATACCTAGCGAAAATTGTCTTTGATCTAACCTCGATACAAAACTAAAAACCACATTAATACATACACATAATGATCTTCATAAACTCCACAGCGGGACTCGACAGCAATTGGTATCAGACGAAGCAACACACACTAGACAAATACAGGCAGAACATATTCTACATGAATAACAAACATATGAAGATCAACAACTTCAGAGTGGACGACAGTGGGCCTACACACACGGACTTTTTAAACTCAATATCGGAAATATGGTTCAATACCACTCCAAGGATAGAGCAGATTAATCAAGTTGCCGTTCCAAGTTTCCAGGATGCGTTCTTCGCGATTAAACCCACCACAGGAGCTTTACAGTTTCCATTCCCTCCTGTTATTAGAACAGAAGAGAACCCTTACCTTCAACCTCATCCTGATACTCCAGATACACCTCCACCTCTTCCATATCCTAGTTTAGATCCTCCACTTCAATCTCCAGCAACAACACTACAGCCAGAATATACTCCTCCTCCAACTAGACCGACGCCAAAATATCCCTCTTTCAATTCTCCTGCTCAAATTCCAAGATCTTCAACTGATCCAGGTTATAATCCATTAGGAACTGAGCGTATCACTTCTGAAGCAGTAGTTTATAAACTGTACCAGTCTTACCCATCAGATGTCAATATTGTGATGGAAGAGATGGTTAAATATCAGACTCCTACTAATTATATTCCACCTGTAACTAACAACTTTGACTTCACTGGTGAGTCGTCAGTTTGTCATCGTCATCATAACTTTCGTGAGACATACTAAATTATTATATATTTGGCTTACGTTTGACGAGGAACTCGACTAGTTGTGCGCGCACCGCAGAACCAAGTAGCCAGTAGCAGCGCGACAGTCGTCGCCTCGTGTTCCGTGGAATGCTGCTCATCAATATGATCCTCGAAACTAGTCGAGTTCCTCGTCAAATAGTTAAAAACGTAGCTCCTCTTTGTGTGATCCGCAAATTTTTATTTCGGGTTTGGGTATCATATGTCTGTGAACTTATAAACACAACACACAGAGTGGGGAAACATTCAAAAATAAAAATATAATTGATTCCAGTTCAAAACCTGGAAAGTAAAATGTGTCGATGTCCGCTCACATGCATTCCCTGAAGGGGGCAAATTGCTTAATTTGTTAGTTACATCAAGAGTCTCATGCAAAACTATGACTTCCAAATTCCGTGTTGTTATATGTAGACAATTTCGATAAACTTACTAATATTTTCCTCATGTAACCACAAGCAATAATAAAATTACTAATCAATATCTCTACTCCACATCAGAAACATTTATACCATTTGATAAAACTCTGACAAAAGACCAACAAACTGTGGAAGACAGAACTAAACCAAAACAAATCGAAAAGGAAGACCAAACTACTTTAGATCCAGTTCAAGACAAAGTACTAGACGACTATCACGCAGATCCTGCTACGTTAAACACGAATGAGAAGAAAGAACAGGCTGTGAAAGATATAGAAAACGATCCTAATATACCC